TCTGGAGAGACCTAAAAATGGCTGTCCACCAACGTTTACCATCCAACCTGACAGAACTGGAGAGGATCTGCAAGGAGGAATGGCAGAGGATCCCCAAATCCAGGTGTGAAAAACTTGTTGCATCTTTCCCAAAAAGACTCATGGCTGTATTAGATCAAAAGGGTGCTACTACTAAATACTGAGCAAAGGGTCTGAATACTTAGGACCATGTGATATTTCAGTTTTTCTTTTTTAATAAATCTGCAAAAATGTCAATAATTCTGTGTTTTTCTGTCAATATGGGGTGCTGTGTGTATATTAATGAGGAAAAAAAATTAACTTAAATGATTTTAGCAAATGGCTGCAATATAACAAAGAGTGAAAAATTTAAGGGGGTCTGAATACTTTCCGTACCCACTGTATATAATATAAATTACATGAATATAAACTTATGTAAATACATGTAAATATTTTCAAAATATATGCTGTATATGTGGTATTTATATATTATATATATTAATCACAAATGTATACAAATAATATATAATTATAATTTGTCTACATACATAGATACACATATTATATATTATATTTATACTTGAATATTTGGCTTAATTTTTGCATTTTGCATCATCTCATTATCGTTGTTCAGTGTTGTTATTGTTAACTAAAATGATAAAATGGTTTTGTTAATTGAAATAAAACTGAAATAAAATAAAATATAAAGATTAGCAAAACTGACACAACAAAAAAGCAATGTTGTCTTGTCAACTAACTGAAATCAAGTTTAAATTGAAGTACTAAAATTAGAAGTATAAAAAAAACTTAAAGAAATAAATACAAATGTCCACATTATTAAATCTAAAAAGTAAACTAAAAATATAAATATAAAAGCTAATGATCTATCAAATTAAATGTCATAACCAGACTAAAACGGTCAATAAAATATGACTAAATATTCACTAAATTTAAAGAACATTTTCACCAATATACAAAAGCCATGATCAAATCATAAAAATATGTAAAAATGAACACAGCATTGTTCTCAGAGCATTATTATGGTTTGTTTGCTGCTCCTTTGGTCATTCAGGTCTGGTTCGGTGCTAACAAGCACACTGAAAACTTTCAAAATGTATGCACGTGTGCACTGGAGTTAATTATACCACATGTAATTTCGGTGCATTAATACCAACTACACCCACACACACGAAGCTATTTTGTTGGAGTATTTACGATGGTGTCCATAATGAAGCTCCCTCCAGCTCATAAAGAGAAGCATCTCCACTGCCAGCAGCTCAGGAGTAACCTCCAAAGCCCATTTCATGTTGTCGCATATAAATATTCATTAACAGAGTGGGGAAACCAGCTGTTTCTCCCAATTAATCTGTGCAGAGATATGCCATTTGCCAATAAATTGTTGTTGTATAATTAATGACTCTCAGTGCATGGTGACAACTAGAGAAACAATACCTCATTTAATATTGAGATTTATATTCATAAACTTAGCAAAAGCAATCGGCTAATCAGCTTGAGTAATAAACGAAGCTGCGTCCCAAGGGGATGTGGGAAAACTTTAGCCGCATGCCCGAGAAGTCAGCCACCCTGCATCCCACCAGTCTAGATAAATCAAGATGTCAGGAGATTTCTACATCAAAGCAGATGTCCCTCCCTGCTTCTCGCTGACCATGTTAACAGGCTACACACAAGCCGGCGGTGGGAAGCGACGTGGCGAGGATGCCCACTTCAAACAGCAAACAAGCCTGAGCTGAGATCATTATCTGGGCAGGTTGAAAACACTCCGGTCAGGGGAATTCTTATGGGACTTACCATCAGGAGGAGGAGCCGGTGTGAAGTGAACAGGTTTATCTGCGGAGGAAGAAGAGAGAGAGAGAGAGGCACATTAGTTAAAAGGAAGACATCCGGACGGTCCCAGGTGGTTCAGCAGTCGTTTCAAATGAGTGGGTGGACAGTGGACTACATGACTCTTTCACAGAGGTTAAATCTCAAAAAGAATAGATTAAGAGAGATCCGTTGGAATATGAGATTAAAGGAATTTTGCGGGTTAAATACAACGTGAGCTCTATCGACAGCATCCGTGGCGTGAAATGCTGTCAAATATGTTTGCAGTAATGCACTTACAGCACTGAAATAAATGTTAAAAACATAATTTTTCAATAAAAGTTTGGGGGCAGTAAGATTTGTATTTTTGTTTTTGAAAGAAATTAATACTTTTTATTCAGTAAAGGCACATTATATCAAAAAGTGTTCAAGCGATCAAACGTGACACGATTTTCTCAATATTCCGATTTTTTTGCACCCTCAGATTCCAGATTTTCAAATAGTTGTATCTCGGCCAAATATTGTCCTATCCTAACAAACCATACAAGAAATGTTTCAGCATATTAAAATGATTTCTGAAGGGTCAAGTGACACTGATCTTCAGTAATGCCTGCTGAAATCCTAAAAATATTTCATGATATTGATGTTACTGTATATTTGATGAAATAAATAAAAAATGTGTCTTTATAAACATAAGAGACTAAAAAAAAAAATATATATATATATATATATATATATATATATTCTTGCAAAAAACATATATATAGGCTACACAAATTAGACATTTTGACTGAAAAAATATATAAAAACGCTGCAGTAAAACCTTGTAAACTGTAACTCAAGCATATGCAGAAATATATATATATAATATAAAAAATTAACTTGGCTGTAAAATATTGGGGGAAAAAAAAAATATATATATATATATATATATATACAGTATATATATATAAATAAAACTATCTTACTGACCCCAAACTTTTGAACTAGTAATGTAGAATTGCATTCACAGGCTGTGGCCTACATCAAAAAGCCACAAAAATGGTTTTCATACAAGGCTAAACCAAATGTTCTTGGTCAGACATTGAAATGTCTTGTTGGACAGATGAATCACCAAAACACACCAAAAAACAACAAACAAATGAAACATTTGTTTTCTGGAGATACTGACTTGATCCTCTTGTGATCTTGACAACAATGACTTAATTCTTTCATCATTTTAAAAATCATTTTATTAAAATGTTTTCTTAAATAAAAGTTTTCTGTTGCTTTTTCGTGGCCATTTCTATGCTCATACTGCTGCAACATGGATAAGAAAAATGTTGTTTATTTCAGCAACTCATTGAAGCTGAAACGTTTTTTATTGTGTACTGTTTTTTTCTAACTGTATGACATTCGTGAAGGAAGCAACGACTTTATAGTTTTAAACACTGTAAAGACTCTGAACATGTGTTTTAATTTTCATTTTGAGCCAATTCAAGGGAATGGAACATCTGCACTTTAATGCTTGAGAAAATGCTTGAGAAATCAACATCGCAAATACAACTTATGTTGAGGTCACAAGAAAATTACAGATCGCAAGAAAACAAGACAGGAAAACAATAATGCTTGTCCCTTCAGGCTTTCCGTACATACATCGTACAAAAGCAACAAACACCCACAAAAGACTATTATAAAAGAAGAAGTTACTTTGAAGAATGTTTTAACTGGTTTTTAGAAACAATGAAAGTCAATGTGGTTCAAAACAACACTGAATCCCATTGACTTTCATAGTAAGGATAAAAAAAAAAAAAAATGAGACATTTTTCAAAATATTTTCTTTTGTGTTCCACAATAGAAGAAAGTCAGGTTTGGAATGACACACGGGTGAGGAAATCATGACAGAATGTACATTTTTGGGTGAACTATCAGTTTAAGCTGTTACACTAATAAATGTTAAAGGGGTCATATGATGCGATTTCAAGTTTTCCTTTCTCTTTGGAGTGTCACAAGCTGTTCGTGAATAGATAAGATCTCTAAAGTTGCAAAGACTAAAGTCTCAAACCCAAAGAGATATTCTTTATAAAAGTTAAGACTCATCCACGCCCTCCTAAAACACCTTGTTTAAAAAGGCCCCCACATGTCTACGTCACGATGTGGGAAGATTTGCATAACCCACCCAAATGTATACGCAAAGAAAGAAGGGGTAACTTTTTTGTTGCTGCCACTGCCATGTTGTGAAGACGCTGTGTGTTTCGTTGGCCTTCCAAAAGAGGACACGACTATAAATCAGTGGTTAAGTTGTATTTACAACACTGTTCCAGAACAGTTTAACCTAAATATTCAGATGTGTGCAGCGGATTTTATGGAGGACTGTTTCCTGATCCTGGTAGAGTAGACTACAATGCCGGCTGTTGTGACTCACAGACTGTAAGTACATTTTCATATTTAAAGGATTTGCCACTGATGATTCAAACGCGAGCTTTGAGCAGTGTAGAGTAGCGCTTGTTGTTTGTCGTTTCTCCGATCACAAATGCAGTCATGGTGTTACGCGGCGCGATGCAGCGCAACGTGTAAAAAGACCGTATAAGTCATTATAATCCATAACTATGTCCCCACTGGATGCAACAAATGCCTCGTTTATAATGGGTTTTAATGTTTTTGTCTCATCACTCTGGCCGGGACACGGCATCACAGTATGGTAAGGGGAGTAACATTTCCGTCACACGCTTGAGGTATTCAGCCAATCACAACGCACTGGATAGCTGGCCAATCAGAGCACACCTCACTTTTGAGAACGATGAGCTTTGTAAAAATCGATGCGTTTCAGAAAGGCGGGACATAGAGGAGAAACAATAATGTACAGTATGTGGAAAATAATGTGTTTTTTAACCTTAAACCACATAAACACATTTCATTACACCAAATACACAAAAGAATGTTCTTTTTAGCAACATCATATGACCCCTTTAAAATATTCAGACTACAAAACCAGTCAAAAGTGTTGGGCTGAAACTCATTAAAATCAGCACCGACTGAAAGCGAGAACTGCCACAGAAGTTGGAAGCGACCCCACTCAGTCTAACTTTCCTCCAAACTGAAGTGATTTTGAAAACACTGAACTCGCGTACCTTATTACTCTTGACAGAACTGGCGTTTCAACAACACGCGCATGAAGCCATCTAGCTAAAGTGCAGCTACAACACCCTGCTTCTGCAGGCAGGAAGAACCAACACCACAAAACTATCACATCAATTGCCCAGCCAGCCGGTTGCACACACACACACACACACAGGGCCGGAGCTGGAATCTCTACTCCTCTCTTCACCAGCACCCCCAACTGCCAGGATAGAGTTTAATTTTAGGCTCACTTCAAATTGCTTGTCAACAACTGAGCGCAAGGAAGATTGGAGAGCCGGCACTGAAGAGAGGGAGAGACAGAGACAGAAAAACAGAGGTGTGAGGGAACGAGGAAGCGAGAGAGAGACGACTTGCTGTGCTTCTCTCCTTGAATAATGAAGTGTCTGTTGAACTGGTCCGAGAGTCAATCATGACAGTTACAGCGTTTCATCCTCCGGGAAACATTGCCAGAGCTGAGGGTGAATAACACACACACAGATGCATATCATAGAGATAAAATATATACTGCTCACACACTGTAATGCATAACCCTGTGACGCCCCCAAGCACAGCTCTTCTTTCTTATATGTCCAGTGGCAGTAGAGGACAAAACAACTGTCTGTGCAGGTCTCACGGGAACGTTTGTTTCTCATGTAAATGATACGCTGCTGAGAAATTCAACGCAAGGTTCACCTCAAGCACATTTGCTTTACTTAAAGAGATGAAAATTGTGTCATCTCTATTCATTATTATGTTGTTGTAAACCTATGCTTTCTTCTGTGGATCACAAAATAAGATATTTATGTCTCAGTGTCTCAGTTCATACAATGAAAATCAAAGGAGTCCAATGCTGTTTGGACTCCACTGACTTTGAAAACATCTTCCTTTTGGGTGAACTTTTCCTTTAAGGGAATTGGCAGGGACCTGGTGATACAATATTACATTGATACTTGGGTCACACTGCAATAACATTGCAATAATTTATGTTAAATTATTCATAGCACAGCTATGAAGGAAATTGTTGCCAGGGACAGTTGACAATTTTACAGTTTAATGGTTGTTATACAAAAATTTGGCCAATCAGTATTTAAAAATGTAAATGTTAAATATTGATAAAGCAGTATTTTAATTCATGATACTATACCGATATTTTCATGCCAAGAATTGGCAATATTTTCAAGAAAATGGAGATTAACTGATTAACTACAATTTAAATCGGAGCAAATCTAAATAGGTGAAATTGCAATAGGTCAATAAATACTCGATGATTTCCTTTAAATTAAAATTAGCAAAAATGTAAATGTTAAATATTGCTAAAAATAGGAAGGAGAAAAGTATTGCAATAATTTTTATACAATACCAATATTCTCAGACCAAGAATTCACAATATTTTTGTGAAAAGGGAGATTAACCACAATTCAAAGCAAATCTGAGTAGATTAAATGTACTGTAGCATTAGATCAATACAGACTCTATTATTTCTATTCTACCAAAATTCAAACTGAGAACGAGCCAAGAATATAATTGCAGAAGTACTGAAGTAATTAAGAATACATGATAAAGAAGCGAGTGAGTTAATGACTGCAAAATAACTAAACATAAATCAGAATATTATAGAATCAAGTGAATTCATGTCTCGCATGTCACTATTTAATGTAAATTTAAATCAATACTGTAATTTCAAATATGAGATTCATATTTGTTAAATATCCATGTAAAAAGCAGTAAGCAAAAATAGTAAGGCAGATACACTCTGCTATTTGTGGCCCCAAATAGGCCTAGACCTCAACTTGAACTGTCAGGCAGGCTTGCATATACGTACAGTATGCTAGCCATATGTTTTCATTCAGTGTCTGTCCTCTTTTCCTTTCTGTTTTATTATCTAGTTTGCTGATGTGTATGTATAGGCTGATGGATTTGGTTGTGGA